CTCTCTAGAATTTTCCTTCTGAGTGAATTATTTTCTTTTTTTTATGAGTCTAGCATTTTTAAAATCAAAATTATGGTTGAATTTATTTCTATGTAGGACTAGTGCATTAGCTAAGTTGTTTTTTGTGAGGTCTCTTTTGTGCTCATAAATGTGTTTTTTTTTTTTAAAAAAAAAGGAAAAATTTAAAAAAACGCATTTATACAGTTTTCTAGTCATTTATATATATATATATATATATATATATATATATATATATATATATATAAAAAATATAGTTTAAGGTGAGCTATATTTATGGGATATATATATTGCAGTGAACATTTCGTATTAGAAAAAGATGACCCATTTTTATTAGACAATGCGTAATACGTTTCGAATTTGCATACCGATAGCCGTAATACCCACTGTTAAAGAAAGAAAAATGAGCCGTCATTTTCAAATATGAAGTGTTCACTATAATAAAGTTTACAAGAAATTTAAACCACTTGAGCGTATATCGTTTAATTTTCTGAAAGAAAAGAGACACTGTTTTCGGCTCGAGCTTAAAATACGTATTTTGAAAAAAAAATATTCCCGATTTGTGGAAAAATAACGGCGTGTGTTTCCTTTCGTCACCAATCAAAGGGTTTTGCTCCAATGGCTGGTCAACTTTAATGCTTCAAAAACAAAACTGCTCTCTATTAATCACCACAGAGATCCTTCCCTGCCCTCCATTAGAATGACGCTCAACTTCTCGAGAGCACCTCTCTGCGGCTGCTCGGTCTCACGTTGACTGCTGACCTGAGATGGAACAAATACATTGAGTGGATTGCTTCGCCCACCGCAAGGAAAGTTGGCTCCCTGTGCCGCGCCAGGAAATTTTTTCTCCCCCGAATCGATCTTCCAGATCTACAAATCAACAATTTGATTGGCGCCCTTGCATAGAGTATTGCTGCCATATATGGTCTGGTGCCCTTCTGTTTGCCTCCCTTATTCTTGATAGGCTCCAGAGGCGGATATTTTTTTTAATTGGCCCTGCTCTTTGCATCTCGTCTATAGTCACTTTCTCACAGACGCGCCGTCGCCTCTCTCTGTCTGTTTTTTGTCTTTCATGGCAATTGCTCCGAGGAGCTGCATTCGCTGGTTCCCAGACTTTATATTCAAAGGCCCTACGAGGATGGCATCCAGCTCTAACCCTTTCACTGTCGAAACTAATAAATGTAGCCGTCTCTTTACTCCAATAGCTTCATGTCTCGCATCTCTCACCTGTGGAACTCCCTTCCTATTCCAGTTTCCCTTTTCGCTATAATCTCCAGCTATTTAAATGCAATGTTAATCGACATCTCCAGTTGCCTTGATCTATCCACTATCCTTCTCCTCATCCTTTCCTCTATCACTCATATCTGATCTTGCTCCAAATCTTCTGTAACCCCTTGCGTCCTAGTGGCTTCCCGCCTTGCTTGGGGTGAAAAAAAAAAAAAAAAACCCGAGACACAATCTGGAGCCGGTCTTCGTGTAGAAAAGAAAAGAACTTAACTGAATCGAGAAAAGGACAAGGGACGACATCCTTAACGGCAAGGAGAGACCAGCTCACTCACATAATCTGCTGGTTGAATCCAGGTCACTCTATCAAGAAGCAACGTCAAAAGAAAAATTCATCGACCGATGTGAAATCCGTTTCTACTCTGTTATCAAGAAAGGTCGCTACGGACATTGTACTGTTGCGGATGTGTGATGTGTGTTGGAGAGGAATAGAAGGTTTGAATTATCAGAAGGTTTAAAATTTTGTGTGTTCAATAATCTTCCATCCACAACAATTAATACAAGGAAGAGAATAATTATTCAAAAACATCTTGTTTCAAAACGTAACAATTGAATTTATTAATATTTGATATACATGCATGAATACTGAGTGAAAAGGTTAGACAGAGTTGTGTCTCTTAGATTAGGTAATATTTGTACCTAAGTTCATAAAGTGAAAGTCATTATTAAACTGTAGTTTAGAAGAATAAAGTTTCTTTAGCATGTTTGGAATTGTGTATTTTACAAGTTGGTAAAAGTTCAGAAGAGATTTCAGAGTTCGTACTTGCGTGAATGTTGGTAATGGACTTTAACGTCTGACCTCAAAGGCTAAGACGGGAGTTCTTGAAGATTACATCTTGGTACTTGGTAGACGCGAGAGAGATGAAAAGAAAACAACAGGGAGCTTACACGTGTTCTGTTTTTATAATGTAGTGTATCACGTGGGAGGCTCCGAGCATATTGTGCAGGAAAACAGATTTGTCGCGTGCAGGCCGTTTGATTGGTCGGAACTGACCAATCACCAATTTAGGTTGAAGGTGATTAACCAATGAATGCTTGTTATATATTTTGTAAGATGGTGATGGTGAAAATTACTACAGGAATAGTGCATTTCCTAGCAGGGGTTAACTGGCTTGTTGTGGAAGAGTCCACAGTACCTACTACTTGAAAAACGTCCAGAGAAGTCCTACCTTTACTTTTTCTATATTTGTTTTAATGACTTTCTCGGGACCTCATGTAGCATATTTTAAAATTTATTGTAAAGCGGCATATTTTGTTTGCGGTATATCCTTTATTGTAAAGAAAAGTATAATTTTATGACCTTTATTGTAAAAAGGCATATTTTTGCACTATCTACTTTTATTTGTACATACATGTTATTGGCAATTATTTGGCACACAAAGTAATTAATTACTTTTTCTAAACTCGGCTCGTGTCGTCTGTTTTGCCATGCCCTTTTGACACTATACATTAACGTTATCACAAACATTTATTTGTATTACGGTATCCTTTTTCGTAGGGTGTTTTTATCTCATAAAAAATTTATACGTTTGAAGTTTGTAGCGAAAAACGAAATACAGACGGTGCAGCCGATGGCCAGTGATAAAACATGCTCCGGTCGGTCAAAGAGACGATGTTTAGTGAGCTGTCTCTGCAGAATGACAGTACACGGCTGCCCTGTTAGAACAGAGACGGTGCGAAGCCTAGAACTTCCGAAAGAATGTGTCAACCAACGTGAGATAGCCGGCATGGTGAGCTGAGCGGTGTTAGCTAAACAAACAGCTCCTTTAACTAGCTAACGAACCTCTAAGCTCAATAAAACCAGGCACAATTTCAGTAGTCTGGGAGTGTACTGTGTTGACTGATCTATTAGATTGTCATGTGTTACCAAAGATTTTTCTTCGTGTTACCCAGCGTCGTTTCAGATTCTTTCGTCGTTGTTTGTGTTTCCGGTGTCTCGGTTGCGTTCGTCCCGTACGTATGGTGTTCCCGTGTGGAAGTCTTTTCCGCGTCCTGCTCGTCGGGATCTAGTGTTTGATTCCGTTTGTTTCTGAGTTTTCCATCCCTCTTTGTTATCCATACTTACACGCGGCCAATTGTACTCATTATTATCGCAACGCTTCGACCGCTGTGACCTTCATCAGCTGCTTGTCAATGCGAATAACCTTCGTCAAGGAATTTTGAACTGAACTCTTTAATTAATTTACGGGGGTTGATTGTTCTCGATTCACTGTCCATGGATATATCGTTCTGTTCTTATTTATACAAGTTATTATATGTCCCGTTTCCACTAGGCTTAATTCTGCCTAATTTTCCCGCCCAGGGTTTGAACTCACAATTCTTATGCCAATAACACAACGCTTTAATCCACTAACCTATTGTAGAACTTGGAGTCTTAAACCTTCTCTAACTGCTGCTGAAACTTTCTCTTCACGCTTAAGTGGATCCATCCAGGCTTTCTACTGCTGCTGTTAACCAGGATCAACATGATAATTACACATGATAGTCTGGGTTGCGTAGTCGGGTTATGACTCATTACAGTAACAATCTGGTAACCAACGGCTGAAAGTAAATGTTCTGGAACCATTCTTGTGACACTTCCAGCTGTTTTCAATTTAACAAGACCTCATCTGTCTCATATTGCTAAAAAGCAACCAGAAGGTTATTTTCTAAATAAGATTCAAATATGTTCTGGGCAAAAGAAAAAAATGATCGCAATTTTACACCGAGAACAATTCATTGCAACCTTCTCCATATATATATATATATGTATGTATGTATGTGTGTGTGTGTGTGTGTGTGTGTGTGTAAGCAAATATATGGATATAGATCCGACAGTATGAAGAAAAATATACTGAAGAAAACAGACAAAAATCCTAATATGCGATTATGCTGTTTTAATGTTTAATGTCAACGTCGGACGTTTCAGTCTAATAGACCATCTTCAGGAC